GGTGCTTGGTTAGACCTTTGGGTGCTTGTTTAGACCTGTGGGCGCTTGTTCAGACCTGTGGGCGCTTGTTCAGACCTGTGGGTGCTTGTTTAGACCTGTGGGTGCTTGGTTAGACCTGTAGGTGCTTGTTCAGACCTGTGGGTGCTTGTTCAGACCTGTGGGGTGCTTGTTTAGGCCTGTGGGTGCTTGTTTAGACCAGTGGGTGCTTGTTTAGACCAGTGGGTGCTTGTTCAGACCTGTGGGTGCTTGTTTAGACCAGTGGGTGCTTGTTTAGACCTGTGGGTGCTTGTTCAGACCAGTGGGTGCTTGTTTAGACCAGTGGGTGCTTGTTTAGACCTGTGGGTGTGTTACGGCCCTCTAGAGTCGCAACTGGGTTCTTTCTCTGATGTTAGTAGAGTTTGGGTATCCGGCCTCAAGCTAGTACTGTAGTGGCTTTCAAGGGGTGTGCTCCATAACGCAAGTAAGTTAAAGGGGAAGGGATAAAACTGCTTAGAAATAAATATATATTCACCACCACCATTAAATAAATATATAAACAGTCACACACTGTTACTATAACTAAACGTATTTACAATCATTTGTCTTCCTCCGAAGACACAGGATGCTCTGCTTAACGGTGCTCAAGACGAGTAGCCCCGGTTCTCTTCGTGTGGCCTCTCGATGAATCCTTAGATTCTCTTAGCGAGTCTACCCCAGCCACAGGCCAGCCAAAACACAATCCCACTGGGTGCACCGTCGTGGAGGCCGTCAATCACAATTCCAGCCTGTAGCTGGCAGGTTCCAATCAGCTACGCTGCGTAGGCCACTCCACGACCGATACTAGGGTTGCTAGCCCTAGGCAGGAGCCTCGTGCGATTCCACAGATCACTCTCCTCACCATAACACCCCAGTGGCTATTCTTCTCCACGAGTCAGCCCCGGGTACGACAATTCCTCAACTGCCACGTCACAGGCAGGCTAACACAACAGTGTTCATCCAGGGGGTGACTCACAACTTCTGCAGCTAATACTTGGAGACTCTACGGCTGCCTTGGGTAGACTGATCCAACGTTCATTACAGCAGTCCCAGGTCGACTCTGTAATCAGACACGTCATCAGTACCGGTTACACTCTAGGGCACCTCACTTACAGGCTTAGACACAAACGCCCACCTATCCACTCCATAGATGGCGTTGCTGTCTAAGCATCACCTCACCAGAGGTCAGCAGCGGCTGTGTTATGAGCTGATCAGACGGGAAACTAGCCCTTGTGGCCAGTATATCTCGTCCTCACTAGATGGCGCCGTCCATTTGGAGGGGGTTTCGGGAGCTGACCCACAGATGGCGCGGTCGTCACTGCTCCGTGCTCGGATGCTGGGCTCGGGTCCGTAACAGGGTGCTTGTTCAGATCATTGGGTGATTGTTTAGACCAGTGGGTGCTTGTTTAGACCTGTGGGTGCTTGTTCAGACCAGTGGGTGCTTGTTTAGACCTCTGGGTGATTGTTCAGACCAGTGGGTGCTTGTTTCAGATGTTTCAGATTCAGATGTTTATTCAGGTAAGGTATATACATACAAGTGATGTTACATTAATGGATTGATATATAGATAGAGCTAGTACATACAATGCCTAAAGCCACTATTACGCAATGCGTTTCGGGCAAGAAAACATTAATATCTAGAACTTAATACTAATTGAGCATAAAGAATAAAAGATGATGAGAACAAATACAAATAAAGATAAGAAAAAGGGGGAACATGACTGAAAAAGCAGCACAAATACAATTAGGTTGACAAACAGTGTTGATTAAAAAAAAAAAAAAAAAAAGAAAATAACAGACATGGGTTGACAATAGAGGAGTGAGGTAGATTACAGGGAATTTATTAGGTAGTGTTTAGTTTTTATCTTAAACTGGTTGAGAGAGGTACAGTCTTTAACATGGTTGGGAAGGTCATTCCACATTCTGGGCCCCTTGATTTGCAGAGCATTTCTAGTTTGATTAAGACGTACTCTAGGAATATCAAAACTGTATTTATTTCTGGTGTGGTGCTCATGGGTTCTGTTACAACCTTCTATGAAGCTTTTAAGATCAGGATTGGCATTATAGTTTAGCGTTTTATATATGTATAATACACATGAGAGAATGTGCAGTGACTTAATATCTAACATATTAAGAGATTTGAGTAGGGGTACCGAGTGATGTCTGGGGCCAGAGTTGGATATTGTTCTAATAGCGGCTTTGTGTTGGGTAATTAGAGGACGTAAGTGATTTTGGGTAGTAGAACCCCAAGCACAAATACCATAGTTGAGATAAGGATAGATAAGGGAGTAATAGAGAGTCACCAGGGCAGGGCGTGGTACATAATATCTGATCTTAGAAAGAATGCCCACAGTTTTTGAAACTTTTTTTGATATATTTAGAATGTGTCCCTGGAAATTCAGCTTGTGGTCAATGAGAATGCCAAGGAATTTGCCATCTAATTTGTTACAAATTTGGGTATTGTTTATTTTGAGATTTATAAGGCTAGAGGATTTAGAGGATTTAGAGGATTTAGGGGGGTTTAGACCTGTGGGTGCTTGTTTAGATCTGTGGGTGCTTGTTTAGACCTGTGGGTGCCTGTTTAGACCAGTGGGTGCTTGTTCTGACCAGTGGGTGCTTGTTTAGACCAGTGGGTGCTTGTTTAGACCTGTGGGTGCTTGTTTAGACCTGTGGGTGCCTGTTTAGACCAGTGGGTGCTTGTTACACGTGCGATTCTCCAGTTTTGCTAATTGTTGTCCTGGGACTGTCGGTCCTTCTGGCCGGTGGTTTCTTATTTTGTTTGTTTCTTTTCCTATGTTATTTTATTGTATTTATTGTATTTCACATGCATGCTTGCATGTAAAAATATAAAAAAATATAAAAAACTTGGGCGCGACACACAGTCGAAGAAACTGGGAGCGTTTTATGCAACCCGATGTGATTCGTTATGCTTCCCGCGGGGGGGGGGTGCCTGGGACCGGATCTCGGGCTATAAGCGTTCACTCCAGTAAATAAACTCGCCAGTGGCCCATCTACCCTTCAAGACTGTTTACTATGATCAACTTGTGTCTAAAGGAAGTATTCGCCTGCTTCCTGCTTTCTTTTCTCTATGTCGGAAGCCTATATGTATGGAATGCAACTCAGGGAAGGTACATATAGATAAGAATCCTCATTGTAGTTCTTCGGTAATATATGTAAACATTCTTAACTGCCTGAGCTCGATTCCAAATAAATAGTAAATTTTAAGGGCAAGATAGATTTGTTTTCATAGATTTACTTTCATATAACCTGACAGTATAGACTCTGAATGTATTCACATCACTGCTTGGTCTGTAAAAATTCAAATTCAAATTAAAAAAATTTAAAGTTAGACTACAATATGTAGCCTAACTACCATTCATCTATCCATCATTTTTAATAGTTTTGACAAATTGAACCAATTTTTTTCTTCATCTTGTTTATGGTACATCCTGTTTGCATGAAGGTTTCCTCCTGATGACTGCATGAGTATTGCCTGGATGCAACCAACAATGCAGGTTTCAGGAGTACCTGGATGTAACCAACTATGAGGCCCTGAACACCATGGGATCCGGTTCGTCTAATTACGCAAAGCTACTCAAAGCTACCCAAAACTTCCTAGTATACGTAAGTAATGAAGAAATATGATATATTTACTCACCATAACATTGGTGCTGAAGGTAGAACATAAAAAAACTTAATTTTACTCTTAAATAATGTGTTTATAACGAAATTAGATGAAACTAAGTGGCATGAGAGGCCATAGGAAGTCAACGATCCAAGCGACAATGTTGTAGAGCGACTTATCCAAGATATATTGTTACCTACAGGTTATATTATGTTAGGTTTCGATAGGTTAGGTTTTGTTAGGTTATGTTTGGGTAGGTTGGTTAAATTAGGTAGGTACAAAAGGCTGATATGCCAACAAACATTCTCCAAACAACAATGTGTCTTGGATAAGTCACTCCACAACATTGTCGCTTGGACCGTCGACTTGCTTTGGCATCACCAGCAGCTTATTTTTTTCTAATTTTTTTATGAAATGATACTTTTTCAGAGTAAAAATATGTTTTTCCACGTTCTACATTCAGCACCAACATGATAATGAATAAATATATCATATTTATTCATTACTAATATAATGTTAGGAAACTATGGGTAGCTTGTTAGGAAGCTTTGAGTAGCTTTGGGTAATTAGACCGACCCCATGGTATCCTCAGTCTGTATGGTGCAACATATTAACTCAAGATGGTAACAAAAATGACAGTGGGAGTATGCTACAGGGCTGACACATCAACGGCAGAGGAAATTGCAGATCTGCATAAAGTGATCAACGTGTCAACTGAAATCCAAACCTTAATAATGGGGGACTTTAACCATGAGACCATAGATTGGATTAACCTAACATCACAAGTGGAAGGTTAATAATTTATAGACCTAGTGCAGGTCTCCTTTCTCATACTGTAATGATCTGGGCAGACCATAGTTCCTCCCCCTTCCCCCTTCCCCTTCCCTTCCCTTCCCTTCCCTCATTTGCCCCCCCACCCCCCTCTCCATCTACACAGTAATCTGTAATCTTCACAGTAAAAAACCAACATACTGGAGTGAATGATATGGAAGAAAATGCAGGATTGAACCAGTGAAGAGCAGAGGTGCCATAGGCACAATCAGAGAACACTATAAACATCAGAGGTCTGCGGTTGTTCAATGTCCTCCCAGCGACTATAAGAAATATTGCCGGAACAACTGTGGACATCTTCAAGTTTAAACTGGGCTGTTTTCTAAGAGAAGTTCCGGATCAGCCGGGCTGTGGTGGGTATGTGGGCCTGCGGGCCGCTCCAAGCAACAGCCTGATGGACCAAACTCTCACAAGTTGAGCCTGGCCTCGGGCCAGGCTTGGGGAGTAGAAGAACTCCCAGAACCCCATCAAGCAGGTATCAAGCTTTCCCCGTTGCCTCATTCCTTATCCTTCCCCTCCCTTCACAATTGGCAGTCCGACCCTATGGTCATTCTTCCCAACTTGTTGGCCATTCCTGCCATATAACTACTCTTGTCAAATTACCCCTTAGCCAGGTGGTCAAGTCACTTGTCCAGTCCTTGTCCCAATCCTATTTTCTCTAATCCCTCCAATTGGTTGTCTCCCAGTCTTTTCCAATCGTTCCCCTCTCCTCCTGCCTTCGCCATAACCATTCAGTGCCATAAACCTTAAGGCTCAGATTTTCGTTGGGTGGCTGAGGGGGTCATATACTTCTGGCCGGTCCTGGATGTAGCGTGGGAACGCTTCAGAACTCTACAGGAATGAAACATAACTTTCAAAGAGGCTTAGGGGGGGGAGGGTTAGTCAGAGTATTTGTCTGGCCTAGAGTAACATTTCATTGGCTTGAGTCTTGAGAGGGGGGGCTTATTGGGCCTAGGAAGACTTAGAAATGGGAGGAGCTTGTTGTCCACTGGTAAGAGTTTAAGAAAATATTAAAGTTAGTGTGTCTTAGGCGTGACTAGGGTACAGGTCGGGTGACCTGGAGAGCAGCCACTCAACATCTGTGCTGGTTTTTGCAGTATTAAGGTAATTGTACACTTGAGATTTGATGCATATTCGGTATTACATTCTGTTGCCTCGTAGGGATTTAGAGTAGGATATATTTTCAATTTTTTATTTAAATATACGTGTTTCAATAATAAAGTGTATTATAGTGTTTGTGACTAGTTATCTGTTCCCCTTTGATTAATGCTGGGTCATTCCTTTGTGGTTTTTATGTACAGTACTAGTAATTCCCGTGTGTTCTCCTCCTTGTTATGGATATTAGAGTTGCCCTTGAATCCTCAATCAGTAAAGTAAAGATTACATTTTAATTCTCAAGTATTCTTTACCTAGATCCTTATACCTACTGAGTTCATGATTATTGACTTCTGCCCTCCCTGGGAGGTCAATAAAAGACACCTTCAGATTATCACGTGAGAGAGGTGGTGGCAGTGTTTAATGAGTTTTTATTTATTAGTTTTAAAATAATAATCCCTTCTCTTGTTGTTCTCCCCCCTCATTTAATATATTTCAGAGTTAACTAATTAGCCTGTAGTTCATTGGGGGTCACATTGATTTCCAAGCAGTGTTAAGCTGGGGTGTTGAGTGAGTAAAGGAAATAGTGTCGTGATGGATTATTACAATACAGCATGTGGTAAAGCCAACAGGGTAAAGCCCACAGCATATTAGATCTTGTGCTAACATCAGAAAGGGCATGATTGATAAAATTCATGTAGAGGCATAGCTAACCCCCCTTATGTAATCACCATATTTTAAGATGGACTACGAATACAGAAACATTCATATAGATCAACAACGATGAATTTCTGGATAACCATCAAGGAAACTATCAAGGAATGAGTGGAACTCCAAACCATCTGGATGGAACTGATAGGCAAACATGGCATAGACGCATCATGGCAAAATTTCAAGAGGTTCATCATGGAACTTGTTCAAAAATATGTGGTGAAAAGAAGAAAGACAAAAAAGGGAACTAGATGGATGACACAGGTCATTAAACGAACATTGGTAACCAAAAGGAACCTCTGGAGAACATATAAATTCATGATTGATATCATTGATTATCAGATACACAAAAAGGCATTAAACTCGGGCATCAAGAAAATCCGAAAGAGTACTTTTCACAAAATCTCTGGACCAAGGGGAAGTCCCCCTTAGATTGAAAATATTTCAAAAAAGGTAAAAAGAGCCAAGCAGAAGACTACTGGCCAATCAGCTGGACATCACACATCTACAAGCTCATAGAGAGAATCCTAACGGAGGGAATCATTCACCATCTTTCAGTGAACAATCTTGTACAATCGACACAACATGGATTTGTTAAAAACAGATCCTGCCTTACAAACTTGCTCACATTTTTGGAAACAGTAACCAGCTACTCGGACAAAGGCCTTCCGGTGGATGTAGCATACAGGTGTACAGGGATTTTGCTAAAGCTTTTGATAAGGTACCACATGAAAGACTGGCAAAGAAATTACAGGGCCATGGAATAAATGGTAAAATATTAGAATGGTTAAAACAATGGTTGAAAAAAATAATATAAAAAATCGTAGGTGACATATTTTGGGCGCAATAGGCTGAGGATGTCTGGCAAAATGTGGGCGTTAACAGAGCGGTTGTCAGAGCTGGTCAGCGTCACCCGACCTGACAGGTGGGAGTTGCCACAAAGATATTATCACCTAATTATTTCAATGTCTGATTTTTTCTTAGTTTTTTGTAGTAATATTATTCAATAGTGTGTAGTGTGATAGATTTATATAATAAAATGTGTGAATCATCGCTATACTCAAAAGTATGCTGTTCATATTAGTGATTCAATTATTACATTCATAAAGCAAGAAACAAATAGTTTTGCAGTTATTACACAATACTGTATACACACACATCTATATAAATAAAAATAGAAATGTGCATTTGTGCATAACCTCTAATCTCCGAAAGTTCTTCACCGATTGCTTTGAAATTTTCATACAACGTTCCATTCGCATCAAGGCAGGTTTTTATATACATACTATATAGATGTCACGTCTGTGATGGTAAAAAAACATGCTTTTTCTGAAAAACTGTGTTTTTCATGTGAGAGGAAATCTTCAAAACTTCTTTACCGATTGCGAAGCAAAAACAGCAACCTTGCAACCCGCAGGGTTGCAAGGTTGCTGTTTAATAGCAATGAAATAGTAGTAGTAATAGTTTAATAGTAATGAAAATAGCAAGGTTCATTACAACTATTTAACACTGGGAAGGGATCAGGATAAGGATTTGGGATGGGATGGGGAGGAATGGTGCCAAACCACTTGGACGGTCGGGGATTGAATGCCTAGGACTGCTACTGTGCATTTAAATTACTAACTTACCTGAGAGTCTATATCTCTACATGTCAATGTTTGTGTATACTGGTAATGTGAGGATCATACAAAAGATAAGGGTAGCTGAACACCACAAAATGCTGAAGGACAACTTTATTAAAGTTGCATAATACGGTTATTGACATTCAATAATAGTAAGACAAAGCAATGAGGACCCAAATGAGAGACCAGTTGAAAAAGTTGAGACCAGTTGCTTTTTTGAAAAAGCATGTTTGCTTGCAACCCGCAGGGTTGCAAGCAGCCACAGCAGGGAAGAAAGACGCACGCGTCACCGAGGTATATGTGAGGAGAACTACCCAGGACGTGAACCGCATGAAAACAAAAGGAACGACCTGCAAAGGGACAGAAAACAGGAGCCAGGACCATGAACCCAGCTCCACCCATTCCAACGAAAAGGAATCATAGGGGCAGGAGTGGGCGAACAGAAGAACTGCCAGTTGGATAGCTGGCACGAAGAGTCTGAGTTGCGCAGGTGGCGGCGCAGCGACGTGATGATGTCATGCTAGTTTGCTATTTTTGTTTTGGGAGTTCTGTCCACTCGTTCGGTTTTCGGCAGTAATCTTTTCACCAGAATAGGGATTTGTTTTGGGGCGCCTACCTTTCTGGGTGCCTGTCCTGGTCGATGGCAGACATAGAATGCTCCCAACCACAGGGGGATTTCTATAGGCCAGGTTCTGGCTTGTGGTCCCCGGTAGGCAAGAACTCCATGCACCTTGACTGATGCCAGAAAGTTATACATATCCATTCAGCTCCGGGGAGCCTCCGGGACTCATCCAGAAAATAGCGTTTTATTACATTCAACGCTGGTTTTTGGCTTTTTTAACATAAAAAGTTCTTATTATATATCATGCTACAGATCACAAGAAAGTCAGTGGTAAAGTTCAACCTAATCTTTTGTTGAAAAGGCTCACCGAAATCAAGTTGTAGCAGACCGTTGTATTAATCTTTTTTATGACAATGTGATGTCTCACTTCAGACAAGTGTTACAACGTAACAAAAACAAAGTGTCGCTAGACAGGTTTTTAGGCAGAAAAATAAGCAGAGCCACAAGCAGGTCCTAGTGGTATGCAGGTAAAACATAGGAGAGAGAGAGTACCCCAGAAAAGTCATCACTGCCTGATGTTATAATAGAAGGGGACTCCCCCTTCCAAACACTAACACCACTCCTCCCCTCCCCTCCTCACCGTCTTCCATACGCCAACATAAGTCCTCATTCAAGGTTAGATATACATACTGTATTGTAGCTAGTACAAAATGAGCATTATTCAGTATAAAATGTATTTTTAAGTTAATATTTTTGGGGGGATGGAACGGATTAATTCAATTTACATTATTTCTTTTGGGAAAATTCGTTTTGGTTGATGAATTTTTGGTTGACAAAGTGTCTCTGGAACGGATTACGATTGTAAATGAAGATACAGTGCCACTGTATAGGTGAAAATAAAAAGCATTTTTAGCAGGACTTGTTGTGTGACTGCCTGTGACTTGTTGTGACTGCCAAATTCTGGTGCTGTTCCTTTGTAGGCCTATAGGACGCCATGATTGATGCGGCCTAGTAGATGGTACTATTTCAGTATATAGCAGCTTCAGGGAGCCACTGAGGCTTGCCCAGAAATTGTAATTTCTTTACTTTCAATGCCGTTTGTTTTTCTACATCATTTTGTTTTGAAGAATGTACTGTATGAAGAAATGGATACGCTGGAATCTGCAGAACTTTCTTTTAAATTTATTCTCGTGCACATTGATCATTTATGATGACCCTTTCATAATGTTTCTCTCTACAGAGACCATCCAACAACAATCAAAAAGCGATGCATCAGTGTCTTCTTCATGACTATTGTATCTCCAATTTTTGTCATATGGTTTGGCAATAAAAACTCGGAAGAGGTGAGTAAATTTGTTTATGAATACTAGTTGCAGTTATAGTATTATCAATACCAGTACAGGTACAGTACTGTATTTATCTAGTTATTTAGTAGTAGTAGTTTGGTCTCAAATGCACTGTTATTTTGCAGAAATTTGTTGTACTTTAAAATATTGTAACTTAGGTACAGTTAGTAATAAATTATGACATTAAAATTTGAATAAAAACATATTTTAATTAAAAGAAATAGATTTTTATTAAATATCACAGAATGCTCATAATGCTTTAAGCCTCTCACTGCACAATAGTATTATGTATTACACATGCTGATTGGCGAGGAATCATGAACCAACTAGTTGGGGAGTTGGGGTGAACTGCTGATCTTGAGAATAGGTGTAATCCCAGGAAGGAAGAGATCTGAATAATGGAACCAGGCTCTAACCAACCAATGGGGAGCCCAAAGAGAAACACGGTTAGCAAATGGCCCAAACCTGGACAAAATTAGAAACAGCAGTGGGGCTGATGAGAAGAGATAAAGATAAGCCCACCTTTCCTTCCCAGTCCATGCAAAATTCCTTGGGATTCAGTGCCGCTGGGCTTGCAAAGGCAAACAGGCCTATCTGCAGACTTGAAGTGAACACAAGGCCTGAGAAAGGAGGCTCCCTCCATCTCCCTTGAGAAGAGTTGACATGCCACAAATGGAAACCACTAAGGAATAAAGCATGAAATATCAGATGCAAAGTTACCCTTTAGAAATCATCCCACTTTGGAGCTGGTTGCTTCGGGCAGCTCATCTGCAGAGTTCTCGGGATTTGCATCTCTGCACTGTTCACGTTCAGGGTGTGTCCAACATCCTAACCAATGATCTGTCCTGGTTCCTTCCTCTTTTCACGGAATGAACCGTCGATGTCGATTCCTTCCCCTGGCTTTGCTGAATGTTTGGACGCCCAGGTGCCCCGACGTCGACCTGTTTACATTGGTGTGGTCTTTGCATTTGCCTCTTTACACAGCGCCATTACCCAACTGTAAGGCCCTCACAGTAGACATCTTTCAACTGGACTGGTCAAGATGGAGGTGAATTTACTTGTTTTCCCTGGTCCAGCTGTGGCTCCGAGTGCTGGTGCAGCTGGAGTCTTACGAGGGAAGAGAGATTTTTTTGGCTCTTTGGTGACCAGCTCGGCCTTGGTTTCAGGTATTGCTTGCTTGGTGTCCAAACCTGGGCATTTTTCTGTGGCTCCACCTTTTTTCAGATCAGGTGGGTGAAGTACCTCGCTGGTTCAACCTTCTCTTCTGCATCTGGACTTTTCTGTGGGGAGCCCCTGTTGGGTCCCTGAAGCTATCCAAACTGATATGTGCCATATTGAATTGAAATTGAAATTGAAATAAATTTATTGAGGTAAAATACACACAAAGGGATGAGGTAACTCAAGCTATTCTCACCTCGTTCAGTACAACGTGTTCATACATATATAGACACTTCACAAGCAATAAACATATTACCGAACATTCTGAGTGATAAACATGTACATTTCTTCCTTTACACATTAGGAAAGGCGGTGGTGTTGCAGTGCTGGTGAAAGAACACCTAAAAGTTAACAAAATAATGACTGCCAATCCACAAGAAGTTGACATAATAGCACTAGAGATCTGCCATGAGAATGATAAACTAATGATCATAAATGCATATAGTCCACCACCAAGCAGCACATGGTCAAAGGAGGAGCTAGATAGTAAACGAGAAGGTCTTATAACAATAATGAGAGAGATTATAGCGAGAGCGGATAACGATAGATCACGACTGTTGATAATCGGCGACTTCAACTTGAAATCCATAGACTGGGAAGCATATGAAGCTAAAACAGAAGATTTTTGGACCTGTAGATTTGTAGACCTCATCCTGGAAACATTCTTGTATCAACATGTTAAACAAGCTACGAGAATGAGGGAAAGGGACGTTCCCTCTGTGCTAGATTTAATATTTACCTGGAAGGAGGAAGAGATATTTGACATTCAGTACGTTCCTCCCTTGGGTAAAAGTGACCATGTCTTTTTGGGAATAAAATATGCAATGCGTTATAATCTGGAAGAAAATAAGGAGGTTGAAGCAGTTGAAAAACTTGACTTCAGGAGAGGACATTATGGCGACCTTATAAATTTTTTTAGTGAGTATAATTGGACAGACTTGTTGCTAGGGAAGGAAGTGAATGAGATGTATGTCAAGTTTTGTGAAATATATGATAAAGGCACAAAAAAATTTATACCAAAACAGAGATGCAGAACTAGGAAACAGGATTGGGTCAACAGAAATTGCGAGAGGGCCAGAGAACAAAAGACACAAAAATGGAATCAATACAGGAGGAGGCCAAACCCCCCAAACATACCAGTGATACAAAGATGCAAGAAACAACTACATGACAGTGAGGAGAGAGGCAGAAAGAAATTTTGAAAAAGGGATTGCAGACAAATGTAAAACAGAACCAGGTCTATTCTATAAATTCATAAAGAACAAATTGCAGGTAAAGGATAATATTCAGAGGTTGAAAATGGGAAATACATTCATGGAAAATGAAAAGGAAATGTGTGAAACACTAAACAAAAAGTTCCAGTGTGCTTGTACAAAACGAAATCTTTACGAAACCAGACACAATAAGAATTCCAGAGAAAAACATAGAGCACACAGAGGTGTCTAGAGACTAAGTGGAAAAAATGCTCAAGGAGCTAAGTAAGAACAAAGCAGTTGGTCCAGATGGAGTTTCACCATTGGTTCTGAGAGAATGTGTACCTGAGCTCAGCATTCCACTTCAACTGATTTTTCAGGCATCGCTGTTTACAGGAGTTGTAGCTGATGTGTGGAAAAAGGCTAACATAGTTCCAATCTACAAAAGTGGAAGCAGGGAAGACCCCCTTAATTATAGACCTATATCATTGACAAGAGCAATACAGTAGTCAAAATATTGGAAAAAATAATTAAAACTAAATGGGTAGAACACCTGGAGAAAAACGATATAATATCAGAGAGACAGTATGGTTTTCGATCTGGAAGATTCTGTGTAACGAACTTACTCAGTTTTTACGATCGAGCCACAGAGATTTTACAGGAAAGAGATGGTTGGGTTGACTGCATCTATCTGGACCTAAAAAAGGCTTTTGACAGAGTTCCCCATAAGAGGTTGTTCTGGAAACTGGAACATATTGGAGGGGTGACAGGTAAGCTTCTAACATGGATGAAAAATTTCCTGGCAGAAAAATGAGGGCCGTAATCAGAAGCAAGGTATCGGATTGGAGGAATGTCACGAGTGGAGTACCACAGGGTTCAGTTCTTGCACCGGTAATGTTCATTGTTTACATAAATGATCTACCAGTGGGAATACAGAATTTTATGAACATGTTTGCTGATGATGCTAAGATAATAGGGAAGATAAGAAACCTAGATGATTGTCATGCCCTTCAAGAAGACCTGGACAAAATAAGTATATGGAGCAACACTTGGCAAATGGAATTTAATGTGAATAAATTTCATGTTATGGAATGTGGAATTGGAGAACATAGACCCCACACAACCTATAAATTATGTGAGAAATTTTTAAAGAATTCTGACAAAGAAAGGGATCTAGGGGTGGTTCTAGATAGAAAACTGTCACCTGAGGAACACATTAAGAACACTGTGCGAGGAGCCTATGCTACACTTTCTAACTTCAGAATTGCTTTTAAATACATGGATGGAGAAATACTAAAGAAATTGTTTACGACTTTTGTTAGACCAAAGCTGGAATGTGCTGTGGTTGTATGGTGCCCATATCTTAAGAAGCACATTAACAAACTGGAAAAGGTGCAATGACATGCCACTAAGTGGCTCCCAGAACTAAAGGACAAGAGCTACGAGGAGAGGTTAGAGGCATTAAATATGCAAAAACTAGAAGATAGAAGAAAAAGAGGCGATATGATCACTACGTTCAAAATAGTAACAGGAATCGATAAAGTTGATAGGGAAGAATTCCTGAGACCCGGAACTTCAAGAACAAGAGGTCATAGATTTAAATTAACGAAATAAAGTTGCCGGAGAAATATAAGAAAATTCACTTTTATAAACAGAGTGGTAGACGGTTGGAACAAATTAGGTGAGAAGGTGGTGGAGGCCAAAACCATCAGTACTGTAATTTCAAAGCGTTATATGACAAAGAGTGCTTTTCAAAGCGTTATATGACAAAGAGTGCTGGGGAGACGGGACACCACAAGTGTAGCTCTCATCCTGTAACTACACTTAGGTAATTACATGTAGTATGTTACCAGACGTACGCACAAATACTTTTATGATTAAGTATATAGAAATTTGCAGTAGATGCCTAACAGCTGGATGGACAGCGCTTTAGATTCGTAGTCCTGAGGTCCCGGGTTCGATCCCCAGTGGAGGCGGAGACAAATGGGCAAAATGTTTGTTACCTAGCAGTAAATAGGTACCTGAGAGTTAGACAGCTGCTACGGGCTGCTTCCTGGGGGGGGGGGGGGGGAGTAACAAAAAGGAGGCCTGGTTGAGGACCGGGCCGCAGGGGACGCTAAGCCCCAAAATCATCTCAAGATAACCTCAAGATGAGATAGACATTCAGACAATTCAACAAAAGGTTACAGTCTTGGAGAAAATTCTTATATCTCCAGAATAGTCAAGCTGGGAGTCATCAGACAGTTGCATCTTGCGAACAGCTCCTCCCTGCCTCGGTGGGCGCCGATTTAGTATCTTTGTTTTCTCTGCCGAGATAATTAAACCTAGGTCCTGACATGAATCTGATACAGAGTTAAGAGTGTTCTGCATGTTAGCATACCTTGGCCTTGAGGTGCCACTGTATGATCCTGTTGTATTCAGACTCTGTCATCAGTATAAAGAGAGGCTGTCCGAGCTCTCAAGGCTGTTGCAGGTTATCACTCAGGCTATGGTGCCAATGTCAGAATTGTCAAAATGATGTACCTTGCATACATCAGATCTTTAGTGGATTTTGCTGCACCTCTGCTTGTTTTGATGCCTGAAAGAAAGCTTGGAGGGCTTGAAAAATTGCAGAACGAAGCCTTGAGAATAATCCTTGGGTGCCCTCGTACCACAAAGATACTTAATATGAGAAAGGAACTTAATATTCCGAGCGTTGTTGATCGTGTTATTTAAATTAACTGTCAAATTGGTATAAAAATGCTTAGGCTAACTCATCCTAACCCTTGCACAGAAGCCCTCCAGAATTTCTTTATTGAAGATCAGCATTGTTTAAATGGATAACAAAAACTGGAACTCAACTCAGAATGTATCAGGTTCATGATTTGTACCAAGAGAAACAACAACGGCACTTTCCTGCACCGTGGGAGGTTACACCCTTTCCAGTTTTAATCCCTCCCTTTCCACCCAAGAAGCAAATTAGAGATCAGCCCAAGCTTCGTCTTGAGGCAAAGCTCAACGCCTTAAGCCATGTTGATGCTCTGTCCACAGAGCATTCTCTCTCTCAAATCATATACACTGATGGTTCCTTACACCGCACCACGGGTGCAGCTGGAAGTGCAGTTGTTCTGACAATGGGCGATGGCTTGTACTTTGAGTGGGGAGTCCGTATAAACAACTGGGCCTCTACCCTTCAGACCGAACTATTTGCCTTGCTCCTTGCACTGAAATGTGTACAAGTCTCCACACTTGATACATTAATTGTAAGTGACTCCTTATCATCCTTAAATGCTCTCAGCTCTTTAAAACATAACTGTAACATGCTCGTGTCCGAAGCTAGACACAAATACAACAAAATTATTAAGGATGGTAACAGAGTCCATTTCATGTGGTCTCCATCTCATGTTGGCCTCCGAATGCATGATTGAGCTGATAAGTTAGCCAAAGAATCTGCCTTTAAAGGAGACATTGAGTGTAACCTTGGATTGTCAATGAGCAATCTGAGAGCAGCAGTACACCGAGAACTTCAACAAGATCTTGTAGATCTGAGGCAAAGTGAAATTGACACCAGTAATTCCATCTATCATCATACTATCATGCAAGAGGAGCCACACATCTATGGATCATCCAATAAAATTAGCAGACTTCTAGATGTTACTACTGCTCGGCTTAGACTTGGTTACAAGTATCTCTGGGAATTCTCATTATCTGCCGATGTAGACCTGACCAAATGTAAACTGTGTCAACAAAATTATTCGCACACCCTCCGTCACTATGTGATGGAGTGCGAAAAGATACGTGAATTTAGAGACAATTCTATAACCAATGTTCCAGTGATGTGTAAATATTTCATTCAAAATGATCTGCTACCAGAAATTTTAGCCAATTATCCCCAGTTTGCAAACTGTAGGTAGTAATTAAGTGATTGTAACCTGTCCACCGCTGCCCAATGGATGAGGGGCGGTGTGCAGGACAAACATATAAATTGTAACACTAGCTCTTCACATATGTCAGTTGCTTAATTTAGAAACTGTACTTGTGGTTGATCTCGAACCCATTGTTGATGTGACAACTTACATTGAATTTTGTAACTAGCTCATCAAAATTGTAATTTACTTAGCTAAATGAATTGTGGGGTTCAGTCCCTGAGCCCATTATGTGCCTCTGTAACCCTTTCCACTACCGCCCACAAGATGGGTATGGGGTACATAATAAATGAACTAAACTAACTCTACAGAATATCATCAATCTTTCTGTTGTGACACATCCAGGCTATTTGTTCAGGAACAGTCCTGTTTGGTGTCATCAGGAGTTCTGTGTGCTTACCAGAATGGACCAGTGCTGATCCATTCAGAGAGGTGCAGGGAGCAATGGCCATATGAGCACTCTACGTTTAGAGTTTGTCATGTTACCCATCGACTGGGGATACCACCAGAAAGGTAGGCAAAACAATACAAACATCTAACTGGTTAAAATTGTAACCTTAATCTGAACAGAGTCAAAGAACTCCCCCCAAAAGAAAACAATGAAATAAGCAAATTGTCATCCAACTAGCACACCTGCTCGTTAGCTCCCCTCCCTGCCTCCCTCGATAGTGGGGGAGGGGGAGCCCGCTCAGGCGAGCCAGCTGCTCCACCCCTCAATTTGTCGACTGATGTGCCGGTGTCAACAAATTTCCTCTGGCCTTGAATAATTGACTGGCTTTGGCGTTTGTGGCTTTGCTGGCTTTGTGTGGTGTGGTAGCCAGGTGTTCTTTGGCACATTGGACTGCATGTGCCGAGGGCTTTCTTCCTTAGGTGCCCGGTAAGCACTTCCCTTGCGTGTCGGGGGTTCTCTTCCCTGGGACGTTCAAGTCTCACTCCCATTTGAGAGCTTCGTCGCTTGGCGTTGTTCTCGCCCTTGGGGTCTGGCGAGGGTCTTAGTCTTGCCCCGGGTAGAGAGTGGGTTTTTGTTGGGTGGGGCACACTGCGGCTGGCTCAGCCTGCATACAACAGCAGCTGACGGTTCTCTCTGGGGACCGGTTGGTTTGTGTGTGTTGCTTCGGAGGCTTTTTGTTTTGTTTTGTTTTCTTTGGGCGTATTTGCTTGCTTTTGGCAGAGGAGGTCTGCCTAGCTTCCCATTAGGCTAGCTTAGGTTGTGTTAGTGGTCCTCTTCTTATGACCCGAGGTTTCACGGCGACCTCCGGTTGTCAGTTTGCCTGCAACAGATAGGAGTTACTGGTTTAGCTGGCCCCAGTGCCTGAACTTCCCATAGGGCTCACATGCCCTATGGGCCCTGGAAAACCTCATTGGGCTCAGGGGTACCATGGATGTGTCTTCTAAGCCCTGTCTCGCACAAGGCGAGAGGGCTGAGGGTTGTTCATTGCCTCTGCCTCGTGGTGACGATCATCCATCCTGCCTCCGTCATGCTGCCTGTTGGGTCAGAGGTACCTACGACCCTGAGTCTTGCAGGATTTGTTCTCTGCTTGTTATTCAGTTTACCCATTCCTTATCTGAGGATGTTAGGGGTCAGGCAGCAGCTTTGTTGCAACAAGCCAGGTTAGTTGCATGGTTGGAAGCCCCTGGAGCTGCCCTGCTTAGGTTTTAGAAACCATGATTTAGGGGCATTGGTTCCTTCAAGCGTGGTTGTCAGCGCCCTTGCTTCCTTCCCAGGTGGGTGTGATTCGCCCTGCTCCTCCTTTCCTGCTTCTGGTTCCCAAACATCTGAGGATTTTGGGGCCGGGGCAGGGTATAGCTTGAGATGAGGCTTGGGTAGCTTTGGAGGTTGCCCCTTGGAGGTCAGCCCCGGTACTGATGAGGAACACCTGGCCACCGCACAACACACGGCAATGAATACCACGAAGGCAAACACCATCTAGGAAACTGAGGCCAGAGAAGCGTCTGTCCCGGTTGACGTTAGCTTACGAACTGGTGCTAGGCAGCCGGCGTGGAGTGGTCCGGGGCCTCCCTCCCCCTCTTGGGGCGGGGAGGGCTGCGCGGACAATCGGTGCGACAGTAAAGTGTGATGTTTGCTTATTTCCTTGGGATTGTAGGGAGTTTCTACCTCTCTGTTTGGTTTTTTGTTTTAGTTTCTTACCATGTGGGGTTTGTTTTGTTATGCCTACCTTTCTGTGTGCCTAACCCCAGTCAATGGCAGATAAGGAAAACCCCCAACTACAAGGGGGTTTTCCAGGGCCATTGCTCCCTGAAACCTCTCTGAAGGGGCCAGGTTCTGGCGTTGGTCCCTGGTAGGTCTGAACTCCATAGCTAATGTCCCAGTCTAATATAACATATATCCCTGGAGCCCGATAAGCTCCAGGGAGCCTCCGGGGCTCACCCAGAAAATGGCTTTTCATTGCATTCAACGCTGGGTTTTTTGGCTATGTGTTGTATGTGGGTGCTGAGGTTGAGTCTCTTGTCTATGTATAAACCAAGGAACTTCCCCTTAGTTTTATTGGTAATGTTAACTTTGTCTACCTAATGTTGAATCTGATTTGATGGATTTACTATCAAATAGAATGTAGCAGGTCTTTTCTATGTTTAGTGTAAGTATGTTGATTGACATCCATGAGTGAACTTTTTCAAATTCATTGATGACAATATTATTTTGTGTGTGGGGTTAGGGTCAGAATAGATGAAGGTAGTATTGTCAGCAAATAGTATCGGTTTAAGGCATGTTAGAAACATTTGGCAAATCATTGATGTATATAAGAAATAGGAGAGGTCCCAAGACCTCTCTCCCATTCTACCATTGACAGTAGGGGTGCCACAGGGGTGCCCTGTGGCACCCCTATTGTCAATGGTAGAATGGGAGAGGTTATGCTATTGATGGCTACATATTAGTGTCTGTCACTGAGATAGAAACTAATATAGTTCAGCGCAAGACTTCAGATACCACAGTGGTGAATTTAAGTAAGAGGTAGTTATGGTTTACAGTATTAAAGGCCTTTCTCAGGTAAATGAAGAAGCCAATTGGGAACCCATTTTTGTCAAGGGCTGTGTAGATTATATTAAGCAGATTAATAATGGCATCATTGGTACTCATTTTGATAACAGAAGCCAAACTGGCAGGGACTTAATAATTTTCATATTCTGTATAATTAATTGTGAAAATAAATCAACAGTGCCCAAATTCTATATTTTTTTTCCAGGTAACACTGTGGTCACAGATGGGCCTGAGATGGGAGGGCTTGATTCCTGCTTTAGTATTGCCGATGATCCTCACATTCGTACTATTTCTGGGACCCCTCGTCCAGTCCCATTTCTCTGTGCCTGTCACTCACACCCTTCGCATGTACTTCGGTGTGTCATAATTCTTTAGTATTATTATTATAATCGAATCTTAATTGTACAGTAATTATGATGTGTAAGTTCCTGATATCTTTTAATAATTCATTTCAGTTTTTGGTAATGTTCTTGTAGTACATTTAAACTTTTATATGACCTTTTATATTCATAATTACCTCTTAGCTTTGGGCAGGATGTTTTATCATTCTGTTTCTGTGTAATTACCTGTTTATGATTTTCTGTTTTTAGTTACAATAATAGAGTTCTGCTCGTGATATTCTGTTTCCTTTATTGAACTTAAATATTTTAAATATTTCCAATTATATCTGGAAGGCTTCTTTTCATTGGCATCTCAAACTACCTGCCTAGCCTAGCTCCAAATTAAATGTAATTTACTAGGACCTTTGAATCACAAGCATCTACCAAGGCTCAAGACCAGAACCTGGGGCCCCCCTCAATGGAGGCAAGCAAGTCTAAAGATACAAGGTCAACCAATCTTGAGGTTATCTTGAGATGATTTCGGGACTTTAGTGTCCCCGCGGCCCGGTCCTCGACCAGGCCTCCGGCCCCAGGAAGCAGCCCGTGACAGCTGACTAACACCCAGGTACCTATTTTACTGCTAGGTAACAGGGGCATAGGGTGAAAGAAACTCTGCCCATTATTTCTCGCCGGCACCCGGGATCGAACCCGGGACCACAGGATCACAAGTCCAGTGTGCTGTCCGCTCGACCAACCGACCAAGGCCAAATGGAAAACCCACCAGAAAGCAACTGCATGGAAAACATTGACCATCCTGACTTAACGATGTACACACAGTCATTGTACAGATCCAGGCAGCCTTGGCAGCTGGCTACTCCCCCCCCCCCTCCCCTCCAGCTGCCCCATCAGTTATGCACCTAGTGTAGCTGAGACAACAACTCCTAGTGCCTTGTCTGTTCATGTGTGTTTGTTCCTTTTTGTCAACTTCATGTGTGGGTTTTTCGGAGATGTCTGAGGTGGCTCTCTGTTGCAAGCCACTGTGGTTAGTGCCTCACCTTTCCAATCACACCAGGCTCTTGTTTGTCAGTGAAGGCCTATTGAAGACCAGAGATCAAAACCTGGCCCCCACTCTCAGAGGGCAGAGAGCAGGGAATCTGTAATCACCTTCACCATGATAGCAGCCACCAGAAAAGTATGGTGAAAAAAATCAGCACACAAAGTAAGTCAATCACTCAGGGTAAAGATCTATAGCAAGTATATCATGTCAGTGATATATTTGCTCCAAACTCTCATTAACTTAATAAGATAGGTTTGTTAAGTCTACTTATTCCACTAATTCCTCTTCCCTAATTAAAGGTAACACTGCGTCCAACCTATTAGGGGATGGTGAGGTGAGGTGTGGTCTGATTATATAAGAAATTGATAAGTGAATAATAATAATAATAGTGAATAATGAATAATGCAAGAGTGAAACTTCATGGCACAGTCTCTTAATACAAAAGACATGAAAATGTTACACAGCAAAGAAGTCAGTCCCCTTCTCTTCAACTGTTTAATGGAAAGAATAATGAGGCTGAAACTCGCACAACACTGCAGGCTGCTAAACTATGCGGACGACTTTCTCATGATCATAAAAAGAAGGGATGCGGCACGCCTTGCACCCAAATGCTTAGACTGCATCAATAAAGAGGCAAAGCAAATTGGTATCAAACTCAATCCCACCAACACAAAAGCTATGCCCATAAAAATGGTGAAGCCCAACATCCAACTCATTGTATACGATCAACCAATTGAATGCAGGCGATGAGTCACAATAATGTGGCTAAAGTATGTTGACCAGACCACACACTAGAAGGTGAAGGGATGACGACGTTTCGGTCCGTCCTGGACCATTCTCAAGTCGATCATCGACTTGAGAATGGTCCAGGACGGACTGAAATGTCGTTGTCCCTTCACCTTCTAGTGTGTGGTCTGGTCAACCAATTGAATGGGTGGACACTTATCAGTATCTAGGAATAATCCTGGATACACACAAATTGTAATGCTGAGGTCACTTACTTGAGAGGGAGAACTGCGGCCCGGACGGCAATCCTCAGGTCGCTAACCTCCCTCTCTGGAGGAGCCAATCTGCAAGTCCTTCACACATACTATATACACAACCTGTCCTCTTAAAAACAACGCCGCTTTTGGCCGTTTACCCGTATGGCCGAAAGTGGACGTAATTTGGAAATAAAAAAAAAAAAATTAACACTCGCTCTCTTTGGACATGACTCGTCCGTTTTTTTCCTCTTGAATCCTAGCTTTGGACCTGACTTGCATCCACTACAAAAATATTTGTATAAAATTTATTTTTTATGAAATCGACTTGGGGATACTTTCAAAATGAGCGCCATGAAATTCCCGTTCTCCTTGATAGACCTATCGGCCTCGTGGGCCGTCGGCACACAGCATTGACCTTGTGTGTTGTTGACATCGCTCGTTACCGGACTGCTCTCCCCTCGCGTCCACGATTCGTGCGGTTTTGTGCATTTATATCTCTTCCCGTGTGTTCTCCAACCTTTATGTACATTCCACGGTGGATCCTGGTCAAGGGCCAAGCAGTGTTACTCCAAAAAAGGGGAAGGATTCATACAAAAAGGAAAAGATAAGTATGTTGTATAAAAAGTACAATCGAGTGAAGCTTACACTCTCAAAGATACCTGGCTTATGTGACGAGTTATCTGATGTTGCGTCTGATGTTGAAGGTGAGGAAGAGTTGAGTGACTTCAACAGTGATAATTTGGATTCTGAGACAGGTATTTACGATGTTTCTATTAGTGATGACAGCGAATACAGTGAACCAGTTGCCCCACCACCTCGTACCCGAAAGTGAACAGGTCCTGGACGCACCACACAGCCAGATCCGGCTAGTCCCTGGTCCACAGACAATACTCCACCAATTGTTGATGATTTCACTGCAACACCAGGCCTAACTATTCCGTCACCCATCACTGCACTGCAATTCATTCAATTATTTCTGACTCAAACGCTCATTGAATATTTCACATATGAAACGAATCTGTATGCCACACAAATCATGCAGCATGCTACCGAGAGCGTAAGGAAGATGTGGGTGCCAGTCACCATCAAGGAAATGGCCAGATATATAGGTCTGTGCATGATGATGGGGGTTTGCAGGCTACCAACCATGAGAATGTACTGGCAGACAGCCAGGCTTTGGCACACGTGTTTCTTCAATACTTTCATGTCGTCGAAACGGTTTCAACATATTGCAAATTTTTCCACTCATATAATAACTATGCCATTCCCATAAATAATAAAGACAGGTTGCTAAAAATTCGAGCAGTGATGGAATATCTGAAAACGAAATTTGCAACAATCTACGTTCCCCAGAAACAACTGAGTCTTGATGAAGGCACGATGGCATGGCGTAGCCAGTTATCTTTCAAGGTATATAATCTGAACAAGCCTGAAAAATATGGAGTGAAACTGTACATGCTTGCAGAATCAATATCTGGCTACATATATGACTGAAGTGTATTGTGGAATAGGTAAAACAGTAATTGAAACAGTCACGGGCTTGATTGAGCCCCTAATGGACAAAGGTTATCATCTCTACATGGATAACTATTATAACTCAGTCAACCTCACAGAAACGTTACGTGAACGCAAGGTTTACACATGTGGCACCATTAGATTACCACATGGAACACCCAAGGAACTGGAATTGAAGGCAAAGGGAAAAATACCATTGGATACCACGATATTCCGCCGTAAAGATAACACCTTTATTATACTGTGGCAAGACAAACGAGTGGTATCCCTCATTACAAACTTGTACAATGCAGATACCATGCAAGTTCAATGCAGGAAAAGAATTCGCAAACGTGACTGATCATCTTCAGTAGAACAGGTAACAGTCAACAAACCAACTATCATTTGTGACTATAATCACTACATGAAAGGTGTGGATCACTTTGATCAAATGGTAAAATATTACCAGTTTACCAGAAAATGTCACAAGTGGACAAAGAAGATGATGTTCTATGTTCTTCAAATGGCTCTACACAATGCCTTTGTTTTGTATAAAAACTACACAAGTGATCAAAAGAAACTAATGTTGCTGCAGTTTCAAGAGGTGACAATGTGGGCACTATTGAGGTGGGACACTGAGGATTGGCCTCTCACAACAGACACTATTCCACATGCTCTGGATATAAATGCTGACGCCAGTACTTCTGATGCTGCCAATCTGTCAACCCCAGGACGGGGTGTGAGGCGGCCTTTATTCCCTTCAACACTACACGGTGAAGGCTCCTCATCTGACTCTGAACTCGAGACAGGTGACTTAGACGCAACAGGTGTTACAGGAAACGTAACTACAAGTCGTACTCTGTCCAGCAAACACCCAAGAATTGTGGATTCACCAGAGCGTCTCAACAGGAGCCTCACACATGCAATACTTACCATGCAAAAATGTCTCAAGTGTCGTGTGTGTTACAAGTCGGGAATCCGAAAATTCACCAAGCACAAGTGGAAAACGTGTGGAGTTGCACTGTGTGCTTCACCCTACTACACAAAATACCATTGGAAGAGGGTATTTTGGGGTGCAGAAGAAGTAAACCCTCGCAACACATTCACTCCACCTAAAGAAACATCTCTTGAGCAACTTCAAGCACGTTTTCCTGATGCAGGTGGAATGAATCACAGAATGCTCAAGTTGTTGGTCTACCATAATAAAGCCATTGGTAAGTACAGAAACATTTTTTTAGTTGTACAATGGGGCTTTGACTTACGATGCTAATCCGTTCCCAGAGATGGATCGTAAGTCGAAATATCGTAAGTCGAAGCAATTTTTCCCATAAGAAATAAAGGGAATTGAATTAATCCGTTCCCCATCCTCCAGAATATTAACATACAAATACATTTTATACCGAATACAATGTTTTTTTCTAACTACAATACAGTACCAAAGTTTATCTTACCTTTATGGAGGGCTCTTGATGGCATATGGAAGATGGTGATGAGGGGGGAGG